GTGTTCAGATTGAACACCCAAACAGAAATATATAAGTATTATTTGTTTCTCCTCTTTAAACTAATATTTATCAAGAAAAATGCCAAGTTTGAGTAATGATAGGTGCATTTAGAGGCAGGATACACAGCTGTGGGAATGCTGCCTATGACAGACAGAAGCACACAGTCAGCAATGTTGTGGCAATGCAGTAGTCTTCTTGCTTTAGTGAATTCCAGTGAAGGAGACAACTGTGGAAGCAACTCTGCAGATGTTGGAGAACACTCAGTCCAAGTCTCCAAAGAGACTTTATAATTATTTGGAAGAGGAAAAGAGATGGGTCACACAGAGTTCTAGAACTGTATCGCCAGTTCTAAATGCATCTGTATACAATGGGCTCATTTCCCCACGCTGAGAATCTCAGTGTTAATCCCTTCTCTAGCTTCTCTCTTTGGCAGATAGGTCTTTCTAATTAGTGCATGGAGCAGAATTCCATGAGGATGTCACTTTATAAAGTCTTAACATGAATTCCCTTTCAGGATAATCAAGGTTATGTTTTGTGTCTCTGTGCTACACCTCAATTCCTCTATTCTCTGTTGGTACCTGCTATGCCACAGACCTCTTAGGGCTCCTTTAAAACTGTATCTTCTTTATTTTGTAAACTTTTAACTTCAGTGCAAAACAAAACAACAATAAAAAACAACAATATAATACCCAATGCTGCTATTCTGTGGCAGGGGATTTTCCTGCTTTAAGGCAAAAGACAGAAGAGATATTCTAAACATGAGTAGAGCCAGACAGACCAGGGCTAATCAAGCATGCTGGGGAGACACAGGGCAACTATAGAAAGGGCATGGACTTCCCAGAGGTTCTCTTCTTATATGCAAGAAGCATTTTTTTTTATCACTCTGAAGTGATGGAACAGTAGTACTGGGCTCCTCTGCTCTCACCTCATTTTCAGCAATGCCCAGGCCTAGTTTGATCATGCTATAGATGCAGCTGGAATGGTTTGGGGATCCTTAAGCAAAAACCCAGACGTGACTAGAGCAGTTTCAAGCAGCAGCACCACCAGGTGGCTTAGATTTTTCACCTACTTTATTTAGGTTCCCTAAACACCTTTACCTCCCTTCCAACCCCTGACCTTAGATACATTAGTAGGTAAAAGGGCTGTAGACCTCTTTTATCTACTTCTTGCTGATTAGGCTTGATGGGTCTTTAGGGGATTATCAGGGTCAGTGCTCAGAATACCAGCAGTCCAGCCCAAAGGCCAACACCAAGCAGCAACATGAATCAGCAGGACAAGTGAGAGAAAGCTGCAAGACTCAGTTGAATTGCCCCAAGAGGTTCTCTGGAAGATTTCTCTCTGCAAAGTCAAGTGTCAAAGCACGAAGATCAGTGCAGCAATGTCCATCCAAAAATGAAAGCCTCACTGTGTATGAGCCTGTACTTACCTCCTCTCCTCAAAGTCCACCCACAGATGTTTTCAGCTGGCCAAACCCATGCCCCTCACACAAGAGTACTCACAGAAGAACTTCATGTGCCCTCTCAAATGCCAGCCTCTAGCAAAATATCACATGACAAAACGGAATTGTTAAAGAAACTAGACACTTCTTCTCTGGTCCTTGATAGTTCTGTCATTTTTGTTCACCTTAGCTTTTTGCCACAGGTTTCCACAATGGGGTTGTTAGGATTGCCTTCTAGGTGCTTTTTGGCCATCATGTAGCCCATTGTAAAGGTGTCTTGAAGTGCCTCGGCCTTTATGATACTATTTTGGCTGACAGTATAGTAGGGTGAAGGCATAAGCCTATTGAAGATGGTCACTTTCTCAACTTTGGTATCCAAGATTCTCAATTTTGCTTTAGTCTCCTCCATTTTCTTCTTTTCCTCATCCACTGGTAGCTCCAGGTCTTCCTTAGTCACCAAGATGGAGCTCTTTCCATCAAATTCTTTGAATTCCTGCATGCAGCACTGATCATTAGATTTAGTCATATACACTACTTTAAAGCCCCACTTCTGCATGCACTCCACAAAGGCAGTTAGCCTCTTTGCTCTCACCAATGATATAATAGATGGACTTCTGTGCCTCTTTCATGTGAAAAACATACTATGACAAAGAAATCATCTCATTTCCAGACTGAGAGGTGTGATAGTGGAGTTCAGAGGTGCTGACAGTTTGTGGAATCTTTATGGATTTCAACCTTTAAATTCTTAGAGAATGCCTTGTAAAATTCTTGTAACTCTGTCTTCAGCTAACTCAGAGGCACATCTTCACAGTATTTTTGAGGATGACCTTGCTCTTCCTCTGCTGGAGCATTTCTCAGGAGATGTTCAGGGGCAGGTCCTCAGAGTCAAGCACAACACAGATAAAGTTGAGGTACTTAGGTATCAACTCATCACAGCTGTCCATGATGAATACGTAACAGACATACAGTTTGATGTTCTTTTTCTTGTTCTTAAAAAGGTCAAAGGGAGCTCATGGAGGAATGAAGAGCTGTGTCCTGAATTCCAGCTGACCTTCTACGGAGAAGTGCTTGGCTGCCAAGTAGTCTTCCCAATCATTGGTGAGGTTCTTATAGAATTTACCATATTTCTCTTGAGTGATGTAATGTCATAAGCATTTCTGGTCCCAAGTAGGACTAGTCTAATTCATCTCTCCTTGATCAATGTATTTCTCCTTACTTTTTCTTTTTCTTATCTTTGCCACTGTCATCCTCATCTGATCCCACATCTTCAGTCTTCGGCTTCTCATCTTTATCTCCCTTCTCTTTCTCTGCCTCAGCATCAATCATCTTCTCTTGTTCCTTCTCCAAACAGATAATGGGACAGCCTATGAACTGTGGGTGTTTCTTTGCCACTTCCTAACCATCCTCTAGGTATTTTGTCTTCTTTGAGGTAAAGGGTCTCTTTGGTACCCTGCCAATGGACTCTACATGGTCTGCACGAAACGTGAAGGCTCCACCAGCAGAAAACTCGCAGGCATACTGCTCATCATCGTGTTTTGCGATCACAACCACTTTCTCTGCCGCTATGCAAGCTGAACAGAATCCAACCCCAAACCACCCAAGCAAGATGTCTGCACCAGCCTGGAGAGCCTCCATGAATGCCTTTGTGCCAGACTTATTAATGGTTCCCAAGTTGTTTATGAGGTCAGCCTGGGTAATGCCAATGCCTGTGTCCACCAAAGTCAGCATGTACTCCTGAGGGTGATGATGTCAGTTTTCAGCTTTAACCCTGTATAACTTGGAAGGGTCTGCGCGGCTCTCATAGTGAATCTTGTCCAATGCATAAGAAGCATTAGAGAACAACTCATGAAGGAAAATATCTTTCTTTGAATAGAAAGTATTGATGATGAGGGACAAGAATTGAGTGATTTTTGTCTAAAAGGGAAAGGTACCCACCTTTTCCTCTCCATGGTGTACCTCAGGCACCTTAAAAGGAAAGACAAGTAGTAGTACAGAGCAGGGTGGAACCTGCCTGCATCTGACTTGGATGCAAGCATAGGCTGCACAAGAGCTTGCTTTCATTTCTGACATGAGCATTTCTGTCAACATTAAATACTAGATATTTTATATATTAAAAATGTCACGCTATATCTGTGTTTTGGAAAATGGATGAAACTCATTTAAATCATTGGAGGTTATCTATTCCCAACTTAGAGAATTATCAACTTTTAGAGCTGAGTAGAACCTCATAGCTTTACTTAGGGAAACTCCTACATACATATGTCTAGAGGTGTGTCCCCTAGGCAAGGGTAGATCCTGTCAAGTTGACAATATTAATTGCTACACATGCCCCAGATGTTATAGTTTAAGATACTAAATATTATTACTTAAAAATTGTATGTGAAAACATTTCTCCATCTTTTAAAACAAGCCTAAATGTATCATGTTTTAAGAAAAAACACATGAAAGCTCCTGATGGAGGTGAACTACTAATATCTTCTTATAGTTCTCTTCACAATACTCATGTCTTCATCCTCTCCCATCTGTTATTTTACCAAGTAGAACCTAGGCCACTTTGTTCCCCTTTTCTTTGCCTCATCAGTAAGGAAAAGTCAAGACATGGAACACCTTTACCGAGTTGATTATGAGAGCTGCATTCTTAGTATGAAGACAATTAAACCACCAACACCTGGAGAAAACCATCGACAAGGCAGATGCTGATCAAAAAATGGTATTAGAGAATGTTGGTTAGTTTTTCTAATCCTATTTGGTTTTCTTTATGAACCATGTAAGGACCACAAAATGATAGTTATTGGTCACATTCGTATTAAGATACGAACAGATATTAGAAAGATATGTGGTGAATAACCAAGCATAAGTTAAGTGACTTGGATATCTGCATGCAAAAGTGATGTTAGGTCCCTGTCCCTGTTTTACTCTAGGCACAAAAATCAAATCAAAGACAGAGAGGTTAATGGAAAAATGGCTTCAAATAAATATAGGATTTTGGTTTTGGATGATGAAAATATTCTGGAATGAGACACTAGTAGTAACTCCAGTACAACTTTATGAATATAATGAAAAACCACTGAATCACAAACAATAAAAAGGGGAGTTTATGCTTTGCAAAGTATATTTTGATTAAAAGTAGATACAAGTTGAGGAGATGGCTCAGTGGGTAGAGCACTTGCCTTTCAAGTATGAAGACATGAGTTCTGATCCCCAGAACCCAACTAAGTATTTGGGCATGCTGACGGTGTGTCTGTGATGCTAGTGTCAGGGGCTGAATATAGGAGGACCCCAGGAACTTGCTGGCCCCTTGGTGAGCTAACCGACAGTCTAGTCTACAGCTCAAAACAAAAATACAAAATAAAATAAAAGATACCATCATATGCACACGTACCTGCATCCGCACACATATGCACTCACGACATTGAAAAAAAAAAAGATGCAAATAAAATAAAGACAGCAACAGAATAAAGTCACAGCCCAGAAGCTTGAGGTTCTTGTACAAATGTTCAGAGCAGTCAGTCTTCACACTGAAGAATAGAAGTTATGCAAAGTAAACATTTTGAAACAAAATTAAAGCTAGTCAAAGGGTTTATTTCACTAAGTATATGATACATTCCTATTTCAGGAATCTGAAAAGAATGTACTCTTACAAATAATGAAATGTCTTAGTTTTTCTTATTTCATATTTGTGGTATACACAATTCTGGTCTCTTGGATTCAGTAAAGCTCAGGATTTGATTTTTCAAATAATGTGGCAGGGGCAGAGGCTGCTGGCTGGCTCTCAGTAAATATTTTCTTCTTCCCACACCCTAGTCAGGGTTTCTGAGCTGGGGAGATGGCTCCCAGCCAGAAGCTGTAATCTCAGCTTTCCTTGTCATTCACTGGGTGCTGCTGTGTGCATAGAAGCTGGCCACTGCTATACAGCAGAAGAAATGTGCCAGTGTCCAGTCTGTCTCTTTGAAAGGAAGGAAAACGCCCCATTTTCCCCTTCCCATTCATGTTTTTTCCCTGCCTTCTCTCTATCTTGCTTTCCCTCTGTAATTTCTTTTCTTCTAGATTGCAGATATAATGATGATAGCTGAGGAGCCTTGTTTTTAAAAATGGAAAATAAATTTTTAATTGAATATATTCTTATCATAGTTTCCCCTTATTTCTTTCCAGATCTTTCCCACCCTTCCAACTACACACTTTCTTTTTCTTCATTAAGAGAAACAAGAATAAAACAAACCAAAAATAGCACAAAGAAATACACACATATGAAACCAATAAAAACAAAATCAGAAACAACAACATAAAAAAAAAAAAGGTAAAAAATGCACAGCAAAGCAACACAATACAAAAATACACGAGTTCATGTTGTGTTGGTCTTCTACTGCTGGGCATGGAGCCTGACCTAAAGTGTGGTTTATATCTCCAGTGAGACTACTTTAAAGAAATTTTCCTTTGTGAGTGGTTATCAATTGGAGTTGGCTTGTTGGTTAGGGTTTTTTTTTTTTTTTTTAATTCACAAGAAGAAAACTGTTCTGTGGTAAAGCATTAGGAGAAAACATTGGCTGTGGATCATTGTGAAGTAAAGACAGTGATCTCTGCTGTGCGGACTTGAGCATATTAGATCAGAAAAGCTGTTTGAGTTACTCTTTGAGTTTCCAGCTACAGGAAGTGGACAAATATGCTATCAAATACGGCTGGTTTCTGAAATTCCATTCTTTGAGAGTGCCGCTACCTCTTTTCACAATGGACTAAACACACATGCACACACCCTGTTTGTGTTACCAAATGCCACATCCACTGTGACTCCCCTTTCTAATTTCTGCTGTCAAGAGGAGCTGGTGAATTATGCCATATTTTCTCAACATCTTCGTTAGGACAGTCTACTCAGTGCAGGGGATGGCAGCTTTCTTAGTGCATCCTGGATTCTTGATAGTGCTAAATTTGCCCTGTCGGCTGAATTCCTCTGGCTTTATGTGGCAGTGTGGAAAAAAAAAAAAATACATGATCAGATTTTACTATCAAGACAATTCTTCAACAATACATGTACAGTCAAGTTTCCTGCCTAGATAGGTGAACACCTTAGTCACAAGATTTGCAAATGTATTTCATGACAAACGTGTCCAATGCAGTGGTCTGGATGTCCACTTGTGTCTCAGTGTGACAGGCTATGAGGAGCTGTGCCTTAGGGGTGATGCTACTCCGTCTTGACAGCCATGTGCTTGGTTCTTCATATCTGAGGAGACGGGACAGTGAGGAGTCCTGTTGGCTTGATTTTATTAATGCCGCCATCTAGAATGCAGACTCTTGGATATTTCATCTTCACAAGGTGAGCTGCAAACTGCAAAGAGAGGACAGTGTTACAGAAATCATCCAAAATTTCTTCAACATCCTGGTTTTTATGGGTGGGGGAGACAAAGGTATTTTTATAGCAATAGTTCCTATTGTTGTATACTTTGTATAGCTCATTCGTCTTTTAATATAACCTAAATGACCTATTTGTTGCCCCTCCAAACTTTGTTATACGATAAACGTGTCTCTTTGTTCTCTTATGTACTTTAGCAAGTACCCACTGTGAATAATTTTAATGCAGTGAAAAGGTTGTAGAGAGAATGAGCGAGAATAAGCTCTTCCTAGTTCGTTAGCCTCCTCCCAGGGACTTACTGCCACTCCTCTTCTGTTGTTACCTGGTAACCTTCTATGACAAGCTAAAGCAGTCCCAAATCTATTTTGAACAAGTTTTGATATTATGGTAAAATTATCACAATTCTGTGTAGGATGTCTCAGAGAGGGCCACATTCTAATTATAGCATGTTTCTGAAGCAACCACATTAACACTTGAGATCATCAACTTGAAATACACAAGGACTGATCCAAGAGACCTTTTAGGCCCCTGGCACACAGCACTCTATAAAAGCTACACAGACATGGACTTCTGCCAGACTTAGCCTCTCCAGGGTCCCCTACTGCCATTTGTATTCACTCTACTCCTGAGCAAGACTGTCCTGGGCTCCTTCCAGTCATGGTCCTAGGCTGGTTTTTCTGTGCATTATCACCTTCACTCTGTTAGGGTCTCACTTAGTTCTCAAAGATTCCTACATGAGCCTCAGTCTTCCGTCTTACAAAATTTATTCAAATTCACTCATTTTAAGAGTTTCCTTTACCAAACTGCAATCTTCTTGAGGGGAGTGAATTAGTTCTACTTTTTAATTTCTTTTTTTAATTTTTAGTGTCTGGTACATGACTAGGAGTCGACATACATTTGCTAAACTTATGTCTTGGCACAGTGGTCTAAACTTAGAAAATAATAGAGCCAGCTGAGTAGTTCAGTCAGGGTAAGTTCAAGGCTTCAGTCCCAGATACTGTGTATTGTTGACTTGGGGCTCAAAAATACACACATTAAAAGACACCTCACTTATGGAACATGAGCCTGGAAAGACACAAACACGAATATAAAAGATATATAAAAATAAAATCCAGACCTCCCTAAATGAGTCCAAGGCAAGTAGATCAAGGCCAACTGTACACAATACTGTCCTAAGACAAAAAGGTTTGTCTGTACAGACAAAGCATGTATTTCTGAACTATGATTGCAGCATTCCTTATAGCAATTCAGATGAATGAATATCAATATTGCTAACCATGCCTCTTTCTCCAACCTCCTCTGTAGTCCCCTAAGAGTCATGTGGCCATTTATAGTTCAAATCCAGATGGCATGCTTTAGTCATAAATAATGTCAGAGAAATCGTAATAGTGCATGTTGACAGGTGTCAGCAGGCCACAGTGAGCTCATCATCTTCCTGCCGTCTTGCTCACTTGTCTTTGAAGCCCAGTCTTCAGGAACAGCGGCACCACATTCATTTACCTGAACGTATAGGTAGCACTGTCCCACACCATCTGATTACTAACACAGCTACATTTTCCCACATGCAGCAGTACAATTACTATGGAGGCTGGAAATCCTAGATAAACATAGCATTACCAAAAGGGACTAGTGGGTAAGCACTCAGCTTTCAGCACTTTTAAGAAAACCCTTGGAAGTAAGAAAATGAGCAGAGAGGGGACTGTTCTACATTTAACTAATCTCTTAACTGATGCTGTAAAGCTGGGAAGAATTCCTATTGTAGGTGGACATAACAACTAGGTTGCTGTTACGCAGGGAAACTGGAATGGCAAAATAGGCAGAGGGGCAATCTGAAATAATCAGGTTGCTGCTATGTGGGTGGTCTGAAAAGGAAGAGGAATGGAAGTACCAAGCGATAGAAATGTTCAGATTGCCTTGACAGGATGCAAGCTGCATTTCAATTTAAAAAAAAAAAAAGCTGTTGGTTTCCATGTAAGACTGGAAGTTCTGCTCTGATTCTTTGTGGTTCCAATCATCTGTGTTTAATATTGACCCTGTAGCAAAACCATGGCAACATCTTTCCAACTCTAGCCCTATTTTCCAGCGGCTCATTTAACTTGTTTATCAATCATACATTTCCCTGAGCATCTCGTCAGTATTCAACACTGTTCTAGATTTGGGGTGTTTATGAATGCAGAAAATGGTAATCAAACAGTTAACTCAAAGCAGTGTGGGATTCCAACAACATAGTGTCTATGTCATTTAAAGTTTCTGAGTTTAGCAGGTGTTGAGGAAGCTGTTTTTACCAACTTGTAAAGTGAGTAGAAATTTAAATGTGATGACGAATGCTGCTATACTGACCAGAGAATATTTTGGTGACAGCTTGATCAGTTAGAGAGGAAAGAAACGGCTTTGAATATGCTGGGTGTGGCTTGCAGTGTGATAAAGTCAAACACACATGGAGATCTGTAGTGGGACAGGGAGAACCACACATGTAGGCATAACTTGGTTCTATTGTCCCCTCTTCTTCAGCAGTCTTGGGAAATACTGGAGGGACTGAGCATTGGGGGAAAAGTCCAGAGACTGTATACTCCACAGAGAAACCTTACACCTGGACATACTGAGCAGTACAGGAGTGCAGGGTGCTCCAGTGGGCTGGGGATAACATCAGCAGAACTGTCTGGGTGCTTTCAGTAAGGAGCACTATCTAGGTCCCCTCCAGACTAGCAATGAGTTCTGAGGCTGAGCTCCAGCAGCAGTTGTTTGCTCAGAGCCCACCTTAGCTGATTCCAATGTCAGCCAGTATTGAGAAACCAATACTGGATTGTGGATTTGGAGGCCCATAGGGAATGGGAGTGAAGCATCAGTGACTCCTACAACTGCTTGAAAGATCCTGATCCACTGCACATAGTGTTGACCCACTAGGGACTCCTAGTGAAGTCTCAAAATAGATCCGAGGCTAGGGCGGAAACTTCTTTCCCCTTCTTTACAGAAGTCTAAGGTGACCTTGCTCTCTCCCCACCCCCATCTCCCACATTTCCTTATAGTCATAATAACCTGATTTTTACTGGTGCTTGAGGCTAGCATGGGATGATCTGATCGGCCTTTCAATCATTTAAAGGCTGTTACACTAGATAATAAAGTTAGCTCTGCACTCGTGAGTCTGGTCTCAAGAATCTGATTCTTGGGATTCTGTGTGGGCTCCATTGTCACCCACCCACTTCTCCTCCTCCCCCTCCTCCTCAGTTCCTGATCCCCATACTGGATAATGGGATTCACTGAAGTTAGTCTGAGATGGAAAGCTGCAATACTTACAGTGCAGTCCTAGGTGGGAAGAATGGGGCTGTAGAGCCAAGGGAAAGATCTGTACAGGTATGGACATGGCTGGGAGAAGGTTTAGTGACTTTTAGACTGCATTCCTTGTGGGCAGAATGCCCATGCAAAGACGTTGAAGGGCTGGTGTTTTTATCATTACTCTCATCAGTACTCTCAGGTGCTGGCATGCATGTCCAGAGCTTGGGTAAGCACACCTCAGACCACAGTGTCTAGAAATGACAGGCCTTTGTAGGTGCCATTCCATTTTGTTTTCCTTCTTTATCTTGTATCTTAGCTTGAGCTAAGAGATAGGTGTATTTGACTGAAGGAAATCAAGTTCTATGTAGCAGGAAAATGGATTTTTTGAGTAGGATTTTTTGAGTAGCCAGAGTACTAGTGGTTAATTAAGGCCACCAAGACACAACAAGCTGAGGATAGACAAGGTGTAAGAGAAGCACTGAATACGATTCTGTAGACAGCCAAATTGCAAGCAAATGAGCAGATCAAGCAAACAAAAGCCCTGAGTTCTGCGAGATTTAGGGGAAGAACAGATGGGGACCATTCTCATTCAAACCACCACAGAAGGACAACTAAATCTCCTGATTTAACCTTCAGGCTCATGGAGACAGGGCAACCAACACTGCTCAAACCAGAAAAGTCGTATCTTATCCACTTCACCTCCCCCTTCCTAACTTCCCCAATCATGCTACTTCTGGATGGGCATGGTACTGAGTGAGGGAACGTGAAAGAATACTGAAATGAGTAGTTGGAGTTCTTCACTTATTTAGGTTGAGGCCAATGTTCTGTCAGCCTTGTGAGTCCTCTTGGCACTCTGGAGTGCTGACAATGGGGCATACATTCAGTGTTGCAACATGGAGCCATGCATGGTACATTGGTAATGCATGTGAATTGCTTAACCAACGTTTAAAAATTTGGCAAGATCCTAAGTCCAACAAAGTTTAAGATGAGAAAAAGCTTTCTCTAAGTCAGTTGTGATATTGCTTAGAAATATATAGCAACATGCTGTGATCATGCCAACTGCTTGTGAGCCTTGATGGGATTGAGAAGTACCTAGATTAAAAACATGTTTGGGTATGTTCATGAGGATACTTCAATAGATGACTGAAAAGGGCAGACCTCCTGAAAGCAGCCCAGAGACCGAGGGCCCTGGATAAAAGAGAAAATGGACACCCCTTCTCTCTGCTCCCTGGGCTCTATGTTGGGAGTAGCTTGGCTCATTCAATGTCCTAATGATGGTCCCACCTTGAATCTACAGCCAGATAAGAAATTCACCCTCTGACGTTCTAGTTCTCAAATCTTCATCATAGCAATACCAAGTCTGATCAGCACAGTGTTTTCTTGCCTGGATTATTGAAGACATTTCTGGGATGATTTCTGAAGGGTCTTAGTAGACTTGGACATCTTACCACAATGAAAAGCATACAAGATCTGACAATGATCCAAGCAAGACACTGGAATGGCATATCAAATACTGCAATGATTTCTTCCCATTGCTAACATGGTCACATGTAATTCTGAATGCTACACTTCAAATTCTTACTGTGTTCTTCCCATAACTGAGATAAGTGTTTTATCCCTGTTATTTTTGTATTCATGTATTTAATCTTACAAATTGTAGTTAATTTGTACTTCATAAAATGTGAAGTGGGTTTTCACAGAAA